TTGGCTCAACAATAGCTTGTTTAAAGAAGCTGGGGACTGAGCCAGTATGAAGAGAAGTATTTATCATTTCCACAATATAGGGGCCAATTGAATCAAACACACTAGTGAAAAATGAAGATGGAAGGACATCAAGGGGGCTTGAAGTCTGTTTTATATGACAAAGCAGGCCTCTGATGTCTTGTAATGTAACAGGAGTAAAAGAGGACCAAGTATCAGAGGAGAGCAAGTTGAAAGTTTGATATTGAGAAGATGATGGAGAGAGTAGTATAGTATAAATAGTATAGAATAGAATAGTATAAAATGTTGTGTGTGTGCGTCTGCTGTTTGTGAGCTGGAAAGGTGCCAGTGTCCCTGAGACATTTTCACAGCATGCACATAATCATGTGGTAAAAGATTTCAGTCTGTGTAAGTGTAATAAAGAAAACAAAATCAAAAATTTTCTGTGTTAAAAATAGTACAGGATACTTCCAATACCTAGCTTCTAAACACTCACTGCTTTTTAACCATTTCCAGTTTCTCATTGCTGCAGTGAAACTGAAATTAATGCCCAGTTCTTACAGGTTTTTTTTGATGATGTAAAGTATTTGCCCCACCATTTTTATTTATTTATGTCATGTACGTACGTAAACACTTAATGGCGAGCTCCTTCCATTCCCCAGCTATGCAGTTAATCGTAGCTTTTCCTTCCATAATGTAATTGTCAAAGCACTGATAGGTTACTTCAGAGCCAGATGGGTATTGCTTCCGATAACAAGTTGTAATAACAGCATTTTCAACTTTGGGTGGAGGGCTGCAGTTATCATGATTAGCTGTAAGACATCACAACATGTACACTATTAATTTACACTCTGTAATCTTTTCATAAAAACATGCATCAAAATAATGCTTGAGGTGACTCACATTTACAGATATCATCAAGTGATCCATTTAAATCCCATCGTCCGTCACGACAGGTTAATTCCTCAATCTTAGCAGAGTATCCTTCATTGCAATCAATGAGCATCATTTCTTGGGTCTGTCCGTGTCGTTCAGTACTCCCTAGTATTCCTTCCCCATTAGGAATCTCAGGAGCTTCTCGACACCTTTGTTCCTCTAAAGTGGATATGAAAACAAACAATTATGCAAAAATTTGCAGATGGATGAAATCCATTTCCATATTTAAAAATGTGATCAGAATAAGCAGTGGAAGAAACTCTGTATGAATGCACTTATTGTAAGATATTACAGAAAATATTTTCACACCAGTTTTCTTAAACATAACTGCAGATAAAACTCAAATGTTAAAAAGATGTTTAAAACAGATTTCAAAACTTATATTTTTCTACCTAAACATCTTATACTCCCCATCTTGACATTGGTATTGAACAAGTCACTGTGTTTGCTTCAAGCTAATAACAGAAGATACTTTAATTAGAAACTTTAATTACCAATACAGCTTTCAACTCCAGACCAAACACCGT